TCTTAACGTATTTATTCGTCTATGAGCCGAACTCAGCTATAAGCCGAGACCCTAAACTTCGGTCTGTTTTAATTGGGTTCTTAAAACATGTGAACTGAAAATACTCGCCTATAAGCCGAGACCATATTCAGAGAATTCCATTCTCGAAAAAACTGAAATGAACGCAGAAGTTTCGAAACAGAAAAGTGTTTCAGTGCAGTATTGCCGTCGAGAACAATTCCGTGATAACCAGAGAGTACGTCATCAGTAAGTCGATGGTCCGAGATTTTGGTAAAGTTTATGTAAAAAATCGCTCGGCTTGAATAAATAATTTTACATGTGATCGATTTTTAAACAATATCGCCTAATCAAGATTACGGCTATTCTTCTTCGATGAATAGCGCTATGTTTTGGTTTTCTGAGCAAGAAACAATACTTGCGAACACGGCGTACACGGGTGATTACATGATTGACAGTCAGATTGACAGGCCTGCATGAAGTTACGCATGCTCTCTTTCTCTTTTCTAGCTTATTTGCATTTTCCGTGCGACGTTTTTCAATGGGCGCGATTCCGTAATGATGAGGAAAAGAATGATTGCCATGCATGTGCACCAAACTAACTTTATTGTACCATATTGGGATGTGAGATATACGGAGTATAAGCTTTCTTTTCACTCATGATTAAGCAGAAGTAAACCTGAGTTGTAATAACCATATAATGTGTCATGAAAGAAATAACTCGACTTACTTATTTCATAAGAAGCTACTCTGTATTCGTATTCACGAGACCTACTCTGAGGCAGTTAGATATGCAGCCCACGTTGGTAGGTGATTTCTTAGCTTGAGCACCAAACTACCTCTGTCAAATCTACCAATTGATCAAAGGCCTCCCCTTAATGATATGACAAAATATCAAATGAATAAACAAATGCGTCCCTAATTTATGGACAAAGCATATTGTATGTCCTGCATGGCTTGGAAGCTATTTTAATTGGTTACCTTGGATACGCGCGAGTAATCTTGATTGACATAGTTTAACTTAGGCCTAAGCCTAGCGTGTCTGGTTAAATGGATTTAGCGGTTACATCTTAACCTTTTTTTTCGGAGTGGGTCAGTAGAAACGAAAGGCTACCTAGGATGACAGCTCATACATTCACGTTCCTTCTTTGCTTATTGGTGTTCATGCAGAGGTCGTATTTAGTGGAAGGGTCTCACTTCAGACATGCCTTCATGAGCTTTGCTCCGACTGATGCTGATAACAACACGGTATGGTCCTAAATTGCACGCTATTGAGCTGGTTTGCTTAGATCTTTTGTCTAACATTCTTGCGTGTTGTATATGAAACGTTGGAGGTATGAGTAAAGGCTCAATTTTCTGAGCTTGCCTTTAAATGTGTAATACTAGTTTTTGTTTTAACTTCTTAAAAAGACAAAAATGTAATGTACAATTGCAAACGAACGTTTTCTCCAAAGCATTTAACGAGGTGTGGTCAAGAAATTTCACTAAGGCACCACAAGACAGTCTACTCAGAGCGACTGGCTGTCACCTTGTTTCGACCCACCAAGACCTTGAAACTTTTTGATTTGGAAATCCTGTATTTCAGATTCTATGAACTCGCGGAGATGCTTCTCTAAACATTACTGTAGACTTATGTTTGTCAAGAGACCGAACGAAGTATCAAATAAAGCATAATACAGACAAACAATTGCCTCTTCACCAAGTGGTGGCATTTTCCTTTCTAGTCATGTCTCTTCTCTTTAAACCTGAGTGCTGAAGAAGGCATACTCCAGCACAGAACATTTGAACAAACCTGACACCTGGCTATTACTAGCCAAGTTGTGGCGTTATATATCGTAGTATTGAAGGAGATTTGTTTTGTGCACTGAGTCCAACTTCAGTGGGCGTATATTTCTTTATTGTTACACGTCATTGGTATGTTGCACAATTGCTTCTTTATGAAGATTTGGTTTAACGGCATTCGAATGCTTCAGATCAGTTGAAACATACGTTTTCCTTTTGCTAATCTAGATCCTTTTCAGCCTTTCTTGAATACTGTAAATAACTTTTTCGAACATTTTAAGAAACGATGTACTCAACTAAGTTAGAATTGTGCTATATCTTGTTTGACGCAATCAACTGTGGCCATTTCTTGGAAAGACAGCGGCTTATATTGTTATTTATTTAAATTCATAACTTACATCCAGACGTCAAAGAGTTCTAAACCACATCCGATAACTTTTAGTAAACATTCCAGTTTTTCCGACTTGGCAGTCAAGGCCATTGATTTAATTAACTTTCCACGACAAAGAGGCTCGCAACGCCAACTGTGTTACATTACTGAAACGCGTGTATATAAAGAACATTAAAGAACATTCTTTTAATAACAGGCGTCAACCGGAAGGGTATTTCAAGAATGAAACCGTCCACTTCATCAAAAATGCAGCGATGGCCGAAGTCATTAACTCTTTCAAAAGAAATTTTATAATCGGTTGTCGTCATACTCATTCTTTTGGTGTTGAGGTCGATTGAGCACGCGTCACTTATATTGTTAAACTCAGCTGTAATGTGTGCGCAAGGTGAAAGAGGCAATCTATATAAGACTTCAGACTAACAGCATCTATAGAGACATTGGAACAGAAATCTCAGAAGCCTCGATGCCGACTTTCGAGAAACACTACTGCAGGAGAGCTCTGCAGCAGCGGATAGAAGAGAGAACCTTCCGAAGACGCACCAATCACAGCCGTGGAATTCCAGCCAATTACAGCTGAGCACAACAGTATAGATGGGCGACACGTATTCAATATACCTTATCGCCTGAATAAGACTAGGAGTATGCAGTCGAAAAGTCGCGATCCACATCTAAAATGATCACATCGTGAGACAAACGATTATGCTTCTCTTTAATTTAAGAAGCGTTGGTCACCGCTATGACAAACCACAACCTATTTTATGATAGAAAGTCACTAACAGTCATTGTTTTCAGAAAAGAAAATAACTAAAAATTGCTTTGAGTTAAAATTATATACCTGCTTTACCAAAGGTATACAACGACTAATGGCCACAGAAACCTTCAGAACATAGTAAAGTAAATACTAGGTTTCCTGCTGTCTATGGAAGGCTTATGCGACTCGGCTACCAATAAGTGCAGTAAGATGTCGTTACACCAAGCTATATAAGGGAAATACTGTTCTGTTATTTTTCTGTACGTGTTACGTTCTATCGATATCTCTAATTTTTTTTTACTTGACAATGGGCCATGACCAACTAACTTGATAAGGCCATCACGAAGTATCGCCAGCGTAAAATGACTTACAATTTATGTGTGATTACATCGAATAAACTGTGCTGGCTAATTTAAGGTCTTAGAGATGACCGAAACATCATTTGAAATGCTAGCTTTTGTTTAATATTTTTCTGTTTATTTTCAGATTCATTTTACCTTTCGTCTGGCTTTTCGAAGGTCGTCTATTTTTTGTGATGAGAACACAATTAACACAGGAGGAATTATTGGACATGGGAATAATTGGATAGCTAAGTGCAGCGATTATTCCAGTGCAGTGTGTTCGCAGACCTTTTATCTTGCAAAAACACGCTTTCACTGCACTGACTTTAGTCGCGACGAAGACTGGTCCATGGGGGAGAATAACTTCACCTACAGTTTTCCGTCTAGTAATCTGCAGTGGACAGTGAGGTGTGTGAGTGTGTGAATTAAGGGAAACAGAAACTAGTAATAAACAACTTTTTAAGAACGTTTTAGTTTCAACGCAGGAGAAAGCCTTGAACAATTAAGAGCCGTTTACAATGACCAAAACTGTCTTTCAATATTGGGGTGGTCTTTCAGATATCTTATTTTTAACTCGGAGAACTTTATGGCTGAAAGGCATTACCTAATGTTTTCATGACCTCGAATTCCTCCCTTCCATCCATCACTGACTCCAACACTCAGTCAATCCATGACTCCTAATTACTTTCATTCCAGTTAACTTTTTTTTAAATCAGCTGGCAAGCGTATGAGGTTTTTGCATGTTCAGTTTCATTGGTGGGGTAGCCTGTCTTCCCAAATCAAGATAAATTTCTGCAGTCTCGCTGTTTTTTACAAACCCTCCTTTCTTGTCTCGTCGACAGTTACCAAAGTTGTTGTTGGATTTCTAACCTTGTGCGATATGCAGACTCAAGCTGGTTGGTATCTACTAAAGTAAATCTTTATAAACGATCAGATAATGGAAAAATAAACTCGTCCCCAGTCTCCAGGAGCCCAGCTATAGTACGGTTTCAACAGGGCTGTCACAAGTCTCTTAGAATTCCGGTTGAAGATCCAGATGGCGATTTTGTGAAATGTCGTTGGGCAACCTACGCCGAGTCCTTCATAAGAAATGATAGTTTTTCTTATGGTGAACTTGATGAGGTAAAATTGTTCGCTCTATTAATTTATTTTTTCATTGTACATGAAAATTATGCACTTGTTAATCACAACTCGGCGAACGATCTAAAAGCTCAATTATTAAAAATAGGATGCTCACCCTTTAAGAACTTAAAACTCCATTTCCAAGACAAAACTGTGGATAACGTTTCTTAGACAGAAAAAGAAAATTTATCTTCTTGTTTTGTGATCAAGTTGGAAGTTCTTAATGAGCCCACTGAAAAGCGCGTGACAGCAATCAAAGCACCCAGCGAGAGCTTCTCGGGTAGAACAACGACCGAGTAAATTAAACGACATTCGGAAGCCGTGTGGAAATTACAAGGAGAACCGAAGAGAAATAGTGGTATACTAAATGAAGGCACCTGCTAAAAAATTGAGCCAAAGCGAAAAAGGGAAGAAGCGAACTTATGTGCTGAATTGTAATATCAGCGGTAGCGAACCAACGCTTACGTTTCAGCGTTTCTTAGAATATTGTTAAGTTACATGTCTTTCAATAGCAAAAATTATTTTTATCTCATGAACTTTTTTCTAAACTGTAAACAATTTTTTAGAATAAGCTGAAATCTACGGGCATTTTAATTAGTTCTCACTAAAGATCTATTGAAGGTAAGACGCAAAGATAACGTCAGCATTAACATTTTGCTTCTTTATCAAATAAAACAAATAGATTCTATGTTTCCGTATTCAGCATTAGATGGCCTATTACATCAAAATGTGGTAAGAACATTAACTACGTATCTAATGCATCTAAATAAATGGTTTGTCCATACTTTTCTTTGCAGAAAAACTGCGTTTTAACTTACAGAGGTGGACGTGCAGTATCGGGTACTTACGTATTGACCTTAACTTTGGAAGACTTTCCAGCTGGAACCACAAACTTCAATAACATCAGACCATTCAGCGCTGTGCCACTTCACTTTCTTGTCATAATAAACAATGCGTCCGCTTCTTGCCAAGACATACCTGTTTTTACTGCTTCCACACCTCAAAATGGTGAATGCTCAGAGATTCAGATTGGGTCAGTATACAGAGCAGTCATTGAGGTGCAGCTTCCACGCGTTGCTAAACAGTAAGTATTCAAGGTTGTAAGTCCAGGGCATCTAACTTTGACTTTTCCATCTATGAACTAAATATATGACACATATCCAAAGGTGCATTACTCGCCATGTTATGTTTGCTGTTATCCTTGACTATGTTCTTTATATTGTAAGTATCGTCGAGATAAACACAAACTCTCCACTTGGTATGCAACTGACGCCATTACGCTTTCATGGAGGCATCTACTTCAGGAATGTCACGTGGTATCCGAATCAGAACCAAGTTGGACAGCAGATGTTCTGCTTTCAAGCTTTGGATTCAGACGGGTGAGACGCTATTATACGTCGTGTAAAAAAATTTGCACCTAGAATCAGAATTTAATGAACTGCTAAATCAGATTTAGTAATTTGAAGTCTCATTTATTGTTAATGATCACTGTCAAGACAAAAGTATGACATTAAATGCGCTTTATGGAGTGCAACATGTGCATGTCGGGCAGCACTTCCAACCAAACAGACAGAGCTCTTTACTAGAACAAGAAACTCGAGAACTAGCAAAATTAATTTTTGTCAAGTTCATCTTAGCTCATACCGTAAATAATTTACAGTCGTACTACAAAGCTCATGTTGCGTAAGTCCGTTTCTATATATTCATGTTTCATATAATTTCCAATTGATACAGATTACAAAGTGAATGGCGTTGTGTCACGATCCTTGTGGGTCTAAGTAAGTAGTTTTTATCCTGTAGACCATTTCGGTTCATTATGAAAAATGGATATTTTGAGCTTTTTCTTTTTAATTTTTCTTCCTTTTAATGTTTTATGCAGATGAAGAGTGTCTCTTATTATCCATTTTTTTTTTAAATGCAGACAAGAAAAAACACACAAATACACATAACAGCTCAAAACAATGAATAACAATCGTATATGAGAACGATCCTTCGCAGTAAAGCACTATTTGAGCAATAGTGGAAATCAGACCTGAAAAAAATTTCAGGCCTGTACGGGATTCGAACCATTGACCTCTGCGATACCAGTGCAGCGCTCTACCAATTGAGCTAACAAGCCAACTGGGAGCAGGCCATCAAATTAATTCGATATAAACCCGTAGATGATAAATCAAACAACAACAAACATATGAAACATATGTGTGAACTGCGGTTATGAGACGTATATGAGAACGATCCTTCGCAGTAAAGCACTATTTGAGCAATAGTGAAAATCAGACCTGAAAAAAATTTCAGGCCTGTACGGGATTCGAACCACTGACCTCTGCGATACTAGTGCAGCGCTCTACCAATTGAGCTAACAAGCCAACTGGGAGCAGGCCATCAAATTAATTCGATATAAACCCGTAGATGATAAATCAAACAACAACAAACATATGAAACATATGTGTGAACTGCGGTTATGAGACGTATATGAGAACGATCCTTCGCAGTAAAGCACTATTTGAGCAATAGTGGAAATCAGACCTGAAAAAAATTTCAGGCCTGTACGGGATTCGAACCACTGACCTCTGCGATACTAGTGCAGCGCTCTACCAATTGAGCTAACAAGCCAACTGGGAGCAGGCCATCAAATTAATTCGATATAAACCCGTAGATGATAAATCAAACAACAACAAACATATGAAACATATGTGTGAACTGCGGTTATGAGACGTATATGAGAACGATCCTTCGCAGTAAAGCACTATTTGAGCAATAGTGAAAATCAGACCTGAAAAAAATTTCAGGCCTGTACGGGATTCGAACCACTGACCTCTGCGATACTAGTGCAGCGCTCTACCAATTGAGCTAACAAGCCAACTGGGAGCAGGCCATCAAATTAATTCGATATAAACCCGTAGATGATAAATCAAACAACAACAAACATATGAAACATATGTGTGAACTGCGGTTATGAGACGTATATGAGAACGATCCTTCGCAGTAAAGCACTATTTGAGCAATAGTGAAAATCAGACCTGAAAAAAATTTCAGGCCTGTACGGGATTCGAACCACTGACCTCTGCGATACTAGTGCAGCGCTCTACCAATTGAGCTAACAAGCCAACTGGGAGCAGGCCATCAAATTAATTCGA